TTGTGCTGCCAGTGGCAGGGCTTCCTCTCACCAGGGCTGTCACCGCCTAGTGCCTGCCCAGCGGGTCATGCCTGTGCTCCGGGTTAAAAAGGCATTGCAACATCCCATTTTTCGGGGCGCAGCAGATCCCAGGGTTTCCACGGGATGAGCGGGGCTTTACCCCGCAGCCCTGTTAATACAGGCTCGCTGGCTCCCTGGAGCTGAGCTGAAATAGCTGCTGAGAAGGGTTTACCACGCAGCTCATGGGTGGAGCAGGGCTGGAGAGCATCCTCAGGCGCGGGAAACTGGGGTCGGTGTTTCAGGTTTGCTGCTATGCAGGGTGCCCAGAGCTCTCACACCGTATTGCGATATGGCTACTCAACCGATGCATCCTATGCTGGGAAAACAGGCCTGTGCTGTGGTCTGTCCTGCCAGCAGCGAGTCTGAATTGTGCTCAGTTTACCCCTAAAATGAGCCATCTCGGCCCGGCCAAATGCTTTATCAGCCTGCATGTCAACACAAGGGATGGCCACTGGAAAGAAAGCTATGGCAGCGGGGAACGCAGATTTTCATTTCAGAAAAATAAGCAATTCATTGAGATCGAGACTTGCTCCAGTGCCATTTCTGAATGTATTGGCCGGTTCTTCTCCAGTCAGGTTAAACCTCAAGCTGAAGGAGATTGAGGCCAGGCCTCAAACACAGGCGAAAAAGATGGATGTTTGCAGGGGGAAGGGGCACGATAGCCAGGCAGACTATCCCCAACACGAGTGGGTTGCACTGCATCCCTGCAAACACCACAAATGCGTCCCACAACCTGTCCAAAACTCCCATTTCAATGCAATTTGCTGGTCTCCTGCCATCCGGCAGCCTGTGTCAGGGTGGCTGGGGGATGCTGGTGGGGTTTGGAGGGCTTTCTTGGGGGCTGCTCCTGAGTGCACCCCCTGATGCCGTGCTCCGCACTCTTTTGCTGACAGCAAAACTGCTGAACTGGCAAAGTGCTGACCGGTGGCTACTGGAGAAGTGCATCAGCGGAAGCCAGGGCATGTGGAACTTTCGGGCCTTCGTCCAAGGAATGGCAGGTGGGCACGGGGCACTCCACAGCCCCTTCTCAGCCAGCCGCGGGCGAGATGCCCAGCAGGACACTGGCACAGAGCTGGGGGCACAGGTAAGCATTGGTGGGACAGGAGACACTGTGATCCCAGGCATGGCTTTGGAAGATGAGCCAGCAGCAGAGCCCCAGCACGGGAGCTGCACGCCAGGGGGATGCATAACCCTGGCTCTTCTCTACTGTTCCCTCAGTTCATCCAGGCAATCTTTCCCACTTTCCTTTTTATAAAAACACAGGGTGCTTTGCTCGTCAGCAGGGCTTTCAGGGACCCCTTCCAACTCCCATCCCTTGTCTGATCCATAGGGGAAGAACTGACCAACTTCTGGCTCATCACTGAAAGGCTCCTGGGGCTTGACGAGTCAGACACGAGGCAGAGGGACCTCTACCTGTCCTTGCTCCACAGGCTGAAAGCCACTTACCTGCGCGAAGGCTCCAGCGTTGTCACTCTCTGCAGGACCATCGTTGGTAAGAACATGGGAGCTGAGGACAAACAGTGCCCTTCCAGAGAGCTGGCCTTTCCTGAATGCTCCCAGGGAATTGGGATACCATCACCAGCTTTGTTTGGCTGGGGAATGGTGCGCATGGAGCCATCTCCCCATCATAATCCTCTGCATCCACTTCAGGATCACTGCCAAAAGCCACGCACATTCAGCCCGTCAGCACCAGGAGGGAGATCCTAAGCAAGATGCAGGAACAGGCCCTCTTTATGATTCAGAGTTACTGGCTCCCTAAATTCTTCATCCACTGCAAGAAGGGTATGGAGGAAGAGAAATCGTGCTGGCCTCTGCTGCAGGAATATCGTGAGCGTTTGTTACAGGCCAATTCGCAGAAGCCCTCAGACCTTTCAGAGAATCTCTTCACGATGCATATTAAAAAGACTCAGGGTTTGTCAGGGCCCTACTGCAGCAAGAAGGCCAAAGCAGAGATCTGGACTCTGGTCAAGGAAAGAAAAGACACCCAAGAAATGAAGATGTCCACTTTTCAGGTGCAACCAGAAAGGCAGCCAGTTCCAGCTGGGAGCACAAAGGAATTACATCCGCATAAGGATGCTTTGGGACGAACTCCTCAGCAATCAGAGCATACTGCAAACACTGCCTTTAGAGGCATAGGAGGAGCAACCTTTCCCAAAAGACCTAGACCCAATGCAGAGCAGCTCCTCCATCTGGAAGACCTCCGTGAAGAGAAAGTCCTCTCTAACCTACATTCCTCTACACCCCTTGTCCAGCTACCATCCCTGAAAAAGCCAGTCAAGACCTTGAGTTTCCTTCCCTGGGCCCTTAGTGCCGAGAGCTGTGCGGGACGGCCCTTCAGAGACTTCCTGAAGCGCCAGGACTGTTTTGTGGAGACTCGTCTCCTGGATCTGTGGCATGACCTGGAGGAATTTCTGCCCGTGGCACTAGATCCCAACAGAGAAAATGGTTTCTTCCTGCGTCATTTGATGGGGGAGAAGATATGCAAGACCTACCTGGAGGAGGGCACCATTCAGCAGCTTCCCCTGGAGACCAGAACTCTCAGGAGCTTGCGGGACCATCTGATGTCTGGAGAATTCTCCCCCTGTATATTTAGAGCCCAGAAGGAGATTTGCAAGGTACAGAGCGGTGCTGGCAGTGGTCAGGCTAGGAGGTACAGCTGGTAATGGCACCGCTAGACTGGTGTAAGGACTGTGGGCCTGTTTAAGAAGGAGCATATTTGGAAAATGAAGAAGGAAAGAGATTAGGAAGGGAAAAAAAACCAAAAACTTACACTTGCAAGCCACATTGTGCTGCAACCAGTGACTAAGATGTGCCAGGCCAGGAGAGAGGAGTGTCCTCACTGGTTTGCTGGGTAGTGGAGCAGAGGCCAGTGGTCATTTAGCAGCTGGTGACTTTGGTTGTTAGATGCACATGCGAAGGGCCAGGGGGTGGCAGGGCAGTAGCTGTTGTTTTTTGGATTTTTGTTTTTTTTTTTTCATCTGAATCACTGGTTCCAGCACAACAGGAGTAAAACACTTCTACAACCCAAGCACTTCTGGGCAGCCTCTGAGCAGCCCAATGGACCAAGCTGGGTGTACAGCTCCTGGCAGAGCTGTCCTGAGCATCTCAGCAAGATGTAACCTGTCCACAGTGTCCCTGCTGTGACCTCAGGGTATGGTGGGGCTGCGGGGTGCTGGTTGCTGCTAGAGCACCGTCTGAGGACAACCCACCTTTGCTCTTCTTCAGGTGCTCTGCCGCTTCTACGAGGAATTTCTGGCTGACGATGACAGGACATTCCTCCAGTTTATGGTAAAGGGGATGCACAGGGGACCCCGGCATCTTCTCAGGTCCTGCAGGCACCAGTAGGGATGTGAAAAATTGGAGAGAGGGAGGGAGGGGAAGCACAGCATTTGCTGCAGTGGTTCAGCATCCCACTGTGTCCCCCCAGCCAACGCTGCCGCAGAGCGATACAGCAGAGCCTGCCACGCTCCCGCTGCCCAGAGCAATGATCCTCAGATCTTCCACCGCAGCATCCCCTAAGTCAGTAGTGCTGCAGGCATGCCCTGCGAAACCTCCCCTGAGACAGGCCACAACCTGTCCCAAAAGCAAGTAGACTTAAAAGCAGTCTTCCAGGGTAGGCGGGGGTGAGACCAGCAGCAGGCAGTGCACTGGGTTATCGCCTCATGGGCAAAACGCTTCAGGAAATTAACTCTCCCCCTTTTTTCCTTGCCCATAGTGAATATTGCTATTAATGTGACTCATGTGCAGACGCACATGCGTACGTCCCTGTCCCAGCACGAGCGCCTGGCCAACACACTGGGGGAAGAGGACATGCAGCCTTTTAGCCTATGATTCAACCGTGCTCAAGTTTTCCACATATTTTTCCCGCTGTGTAAAGGGATGATTTAAGAAAGCAGAGTCACACAAGCACTCATCTTCCCAGACTATTACCCCTCTTGGCAGCAGAAGTTCCACTAATACCTCATGTTCATTAACACCCTAAATGCTAAACTTATACCCAGAAACCTCCTTGCAGATAGAAACCCCCGAGCATCCTTCCTGCACAAACCTGTGCAGGCAGTTTTGCTCACCGCAGACGCGTTCTTCAAACAAACCGTTAGGCCTTTCCCCAAACTGCAGTGGAAAATCCGCAGCTGATCCTGAAAATGGTTAAGGAGAGGCTGTCGGGGCTAGTGCCCCCAAAGACCTGGCTCACAGAGATGCCAACATCTCTGTCAGGGAGAGCTGAGCACTTAGGAAAAGTCAGCCTGTGGCTCCTGACCCCAATTCATTAAATGCTCCTGGTTGTTAAGTTAATTAGCTGCCCAGGTTTTTAAGCATCTCTTGTCAAGGAAATTACCCCTCAGAGCACAGACCTGGTCTGGGAGTGCAATTAGCACTTCAGCAGGTGTCAAGGCCATGCTCTCTGCCAGCACCATCCCCAAAGCCAAACTCCTCCCGGGTCTCGCTGCACGGATGTCAGGAGGACTGCTTGGGGGCTTAGCAAGGTTATTTTTGGTGCTTGCTCTCAGCAGCCCATGTCTCGGTCAGAAACCAGCCACTCTGACCCTGCTGCTTGGCAAGCAGCACAAGCTGCTCACCGGTGGGGATGGCCAAAGCCTGTGGGATGGTCTCGGCAGGGGGCAAGGGAGGTACAGCCAGTCCCAGAGAAAGCAGCCAACCAAAAAAGCACTTGAGGTTACCTCTCTGCCAGGGATGCCTTCAGGGTTGTTTTCATCCCTCCTGGGTGGATGTTGACATCTTCAGGAAAGCTGACACCTTTGCTGGCAAGCCGTTGTTTGGACTACCTGGAGGTTCTGCTGCACATCCCCAGCACGGCCCAGCCGTAGGCAGATGTGAGCCAGCTTTAAGCAGCTGGGCGGGTAGGTTTAAGGTCTATGCTGAGCTTCATGCTCCCATAGATTTCTTCCCAAAAGGTTTGAGGCTAAAGCAGAGATCTATCTTGGGTGAGTTTGTACTCTAAGGCACAGTAAAACGTGCAGCTATCCCATTGGGCACAGTGCAGGGGCAGCTCTTCAGATGGGGTACATGCTCTTTGCAATCTCTTTCTGCTCTTCTCGCCATAGTCTCCGCAGAGCGATGTCCCAATGCCCAAGATGGAAGACCAGGCTGTTGGGAAAGGTGAATGTTTCCTCCTGTCCCAGCGGATAAATGCGTCCCTGAAGCTGAGCCAGGCCTTACATGGCACAAGGAACTTGGAAGTTCTCTCCGCTGAGCACTGGCAATTAATTGCCGCTCGGGATGCCCGGAAAGGGAGCTCCATCCAGGCAGAGGTGGACCCTCTCCTGTGCAGGACTGGTAAGAGGAAGTTCTGAATTTCTGCCGGGGCTCATGTTGGCTTAGTATGATAAAGCATATGTTGTGCACCCGTGCTGATCACTGCCCGTAACACGCAGGCTTTGGTGCAGTGGTGTATTGCTGACAGCACATGGACATTGTGGAGTGCATTGGGACAGGTTATCTAGGAGCCATCAGCTGTAATCTAAGCTTTGGCATCAACTGATGGGACAAATTCCCTCCTGCCAGTACCAGAGTCCCTAAATGCTACATCTCTGCACTGGCCTGGGTCACCAGATCAAATGGAGGCTGCAGGAAAGTGACTGAAACCCAAAGCCAGCAACAGTCACCCCATTTCAACACCTTGACCTTCTCCTGTGGATGCTGGGGCTGGCCCTGCTGGGGTAACACCTAACGTTTTCTTGTCACATCATCTTTTGAGAATGACATCAAGTCTCTGGGCACCCACCAATGCACTGAGAGTGACAGCAGTCACCTGTAGCAATCTGATGTAGCTTGTGGGGCCTCAGTCATATCTCAGAACTGCAGTGTCGTGGGTAGATCATGGCAACAGGACAGAGAAGGGGAAAGAAAAGGCGAGTAGTGACCACAATACAGCACTTGGAGCAAGCACTATCATAGCCAGGAGGAATGAACTTCGGATCTCTCCCCTCTTCTCTATCTGATGCAGACTCCCAGAAGACGGTATCAAATGAGCTGGCTGTGGATAGCCCAAGCAAAGAAAAAGAGCTTCTGCGTCCCAAAAGCCCATCATTTGGTGAGTCCAGTCTAAGCAGGCTAGAAGTAGGGTGGGTTCCCAGCCATCAGGTACTGGAAGTGCTCCAGCATACCCTTAGGGGACTGGGCAAGCAGGGGTCATCCCTGCTTGCATCCCATCATTCCATAGAACATCTCCAGAAGGAGAGAGAGAGGCCTAGCCACCCTTGAAAGGCATATGTTTTGGGGTGTTAATTCAGCCAGAGAGGGTGGGAGTGGGAGGGCGTCTCTGAAGCAGATACTGCTGGTTGTCAGACCACACAGAGGCAAAGAGCTCCGCAGCATCTCCTGAGCTGGGCTCACCATGCAGACATCAACGTGGTGGCTCTGGAGAAGCCTGGGCTTCTTTGGGGTCCTCTGCCCTGCAGACAGCTGTGAGCGGGCTCTGACTGTCACCTGAGGAATGGACCAACCGTGTTCTGTCCCCACAGCTGCTGAACTCAAGAACAAAAAGAAAAGGACTGTTTCCCTGAAAAAAAACAAATCAAGCACAATGAAGTTCACCACTGCTGCAATAGAGAAGCCATCTAGAAGACCCAGGTCTGGCACCTTGCAGCACAGGGCTTTGTTGTTTTTTGTTACTTCCACTCTTTCAGGAGGCAGATTTTTCCCAGAGCTTTCATGTAGTGCCACTGTTCCCCGCTTCAGCGTTGGACCTTCTCAGATGTAGGCATGGGTGGCCTGTTAAACTGTAGAGTTAACAGGGAAAGGAGAAAAACATTTTAAAACACCCACAATCCCGTAGTTCAGATTTACTCCTCACATCTTATGCATGTCTCATGCACTTCATCCTTAATCACTCCCTGGCATGCCACCTGGACTACAGCTGGGCAGCTATCAAGTTCCCCCCCGCCCAAAAAAAAACCACCCCACTTAAAGCCACCCTGCAACCACAAATAAATCTCTGTCCTCACTGACTGCGTGAATCTCCACATGGCTTACATTTCACCTCCTGGGAATATTCCAGACTGTCGGTCCCATCTGGGGTGCCCCACATCCCCAGTGGCCAGTTCAGCCTAAACTGCAACACAAGAGTACAAATGGTAACCAGGACACAAGTCCTGAGTAGGTGCAGCTTTTATTGTTTATTGTGAAAGTCAGTCTCAGGAGCCACACTCAGACAAAGAAATATCTGACCAACTCCGCTGATTTTCAAATAAGGGTTTGCTAACCTCAGAAATTGCCTAAAATCCCAGTCCACTCCCAGCTCTGGTTTTCCGAAGCACTGCTGAATCTTTACAATGTATCTGTCCTCTGGCTTTACATCTATTGATAATCTCCCTATCTACCGGTTGCAAGTGGCAAGGGTTTTCCACTCCAGAACATTCTCTCCATGGCCAAACCCATGCAGTTCTCCACCATCCAGTGGCAAATTATTCCTTATTCTCAGCAAGTGCCAGAGGGGAGCATGACCTCCTCCTCCCACCAGTCCTTCCAGGTGCCCCATCCTTACCTGTCTCCCTCCCCTGGTCTCTGCGGGGCTCCCCTGCTCCATTTGCAGGTTTTGAGGTCTCCAACAAAGACCCAAAGTCCTGTCTCCTCTTTGACTCCCTGGGTGAAGCCTCCTCTTCAGTTTGAGACCAGTTCCTTTGGATACATGGCAGCAAAGCTGTTGGGCAGGTGCACCCATGGCAGAAAAGAAACAGCTTGTCAGGAGATTCCCCCCCCAGAATCCCAATGGCTCAGTGGATGGGCAGGACAGACAAGGGAGGCTGTGCTCCACCAGTACCTTTACTGACCCATTTGCTTCACAGATCCTCACACATCACTCATCCACATGTTTCTTGCTCTTCTTCAGGTGTCTCTTGTTTGACAGCAAGCACAGAGGTCCTAGCTATTTTCCAGATCACTGGTGGCACAGAGATCACATCTCCTGTTGTTTCCTTCTCTACAGGCACTTCGTGAAAGTACTGCACAACCCTGCCCACCTGCAGTTCTTCAAGCAGTTCCTTGAGGAGCGCAATGCAGATGAACCACTGCGTTTCTGGATGGCCGTAGAGAAGCTAGTCTCAGAGACCAACCCCAAGACAAAGAGCTCCCTCATTAACAGCATTGTCAGAAATTATTTCCATGCTGAAATCCCAGCTGGTAGGTGCCCCCCACCTGGGCTGGGGTGTCACTCGCAGATGTGAGGCTAGGAAGAGATGTCACGATGGCTCAGGGGGGAGCTGGCAGAGGCAGGCAGTGACTGCACTTCTCTTCCAGAGGAGCAGTTGGACTGCCACATTTCAATCATCAAAGATATAAACGAGGCCGAAGTAGTCAGCCCCTTCATGTTGATGACAGCACAGATCTTTGTCCAGCAGGCAATGGAAAAAAGATGGTAAGGACCTGGGGTGGAGCTGGTTCCTAAGTCATATGGTTACACAAACACATCCTTCCCATGGGAACCCCAAGGTGACAGACAGCAACTGCTACAAACCTATTTCCCTATGAACTATCAGCTGGTGCACCGAAATCCCAGCCAGAACCTCACCCCAGCAAAACTGCTGTTGCAGGGACCAAATCACTGTTGGGCTTCCAGGGTGCTGGGCTAGAGGATGAAACACGCTGCAGATAAGCAGGGTGGACACTCCCAAGCCAGCTACATGCAAGAACAGAGCCTGAGGGAGGGAATCCAGCCGTCTGTCCCTTTCTCCAACCTCCTCCACGAACAGAAGTCCTTTGAGACCCCAACCTCAGGGTTATTCTTGTCAGCTGCTCCACCCACTTAGCCACCCTTCCACCAAACCACTGCACTCCTTGTGCATCTGGCTGCCCTTGATGCTGTCTCTCTGATCTCGCATCCTGCAGGTTTAAAGAGTACCAGGACCTGTTCCCCCCAAGCAACATGCCCAAGTCTAACCTTCGTTTGAAGCATGGGACAGGGAGCTTCACGACAGACAAGCTGGTAAGGAGAGACCCTCTCTGCTGTCAAGCTCAGGTTGTTGTCCAGGCAAGAAAAGAGGGAGATGCTGTGGCTCAAATGGTGCTCACATGAATGGGGTGAGAGGGTCAGACTTGGTGAGTTGCAGAAAGGCAGCTGATAGGTAAAGCCTCACTCCTACAGGCTCTGGAGTCCTGCTCCATGTGGACTCCACCTGATTTGGTCAGGACTGGCCAAGTGATTCCCACTATCACCTATGGCATCCAGTGAAACCCAGAAATACTGGAAAGCAAAGATGTCAATGGGATTTGTGACCCAGCCATCAAGGCTGAGGTCTAGTGCTCCAGCTCACAGTGGTGGGTCCAAATGGGAAGGCTCTGTCTGGGAGCAACCCTATTGCTGCGGCCAGGGGCTGCCCCCCCGCCACTGTGCCGCTGGCTGACACGAGCTGTGGCATGTCTCGGCAGCGGTGGGCCTGGTATGCCATTCGCGACATCGTCAAGAGCATCTCTAAGTTCCAGAGGGAGATGGATAATGACAAACAGCGTGCGGAGTTTGAGGACTTTCTCCGGCGGGAACTAGGAAATGAGGAGGAAAGTATGGCCAGACTTCTGCCACCCCCTCTCCTCCCTCCTCAAGGCAGTCCTGGGTTTAGGCAGAGAAATAAGCAGAGGAAACTTGTGGCTCATCTCCCATCCCCATATGCTGACGTAGTTTTCTCTGCTGGAGGCATATAAAGAGCCAGAAGAGCAGGTGTCTCTGGATGCCAGGTATTGCTGTGCAGAAATCCACACAGTCAGGCACCAGAGCTGGGAGATGAGGTCCAGAATTTTGCACAGGCAACGTGCACACATACACATTCATGCAATATCTGGTTTTCTGATGTGGGTGCCCCATGATCCTGTCGCATCTCTCTCAAGCAATAATGTATATGCAAGTTTGCATCCCTTCCACAAAAAACAGGAGTCACTAAAAGAAGCTGAGGTGACACAGGCCAAAGATAAACAAATGGAGATGGTTTTCCATGCAACAGGGGGAGGAGCTACAGAGTGCTTTGCCAAAGGATGTAGATCCTGAAAGTTTACATACAGGTTTGAGAGGATGCTGGAAAAGCTGTTGGGAAAGAAATCCACTGAAATTGCTAAATACACAGAAACCCTATCTAGATAAAAAATTCCCTGGAAATGGAAATATTTGGAAGCTGGAAAATATTGTGTATGGGGGAAGCAATACAGATGCTTTACCTTTCCTTCTCACTAGTTATCTACTTCTGGTCTCTGTCAGAGTCAGGATAATGGTGAGGCAGACAGGCAGACTTTCGATCTAATGTACTGTGGCGGTCCCCTGTGAAAACATGGGTGCAGAGAGGAAGATGGATGGAAGAGGTTACTAAGCTAGGAGGAAGGCTGCACATGGGATGGGTCTGAATTCCCTGGAGAGCCTGGCTGCAGGAAGGCTGTAGTCCACCTAGGTAGAAAGACCCTCAGCAAGTCACTTGCATGCAGGAAAAGCAAGCGTAGGCGAGGTGAAGGAGAAGGGTACATTTCAGCATCAGATGCCCAGCTGGCCTCTAACCCAGCGCTGGGAGAAGCGGGACACAACAGCTCTTACCCTCTCTCAGACTTGCCCATCAGCTCAACGCAGAGCGGCAGCACCACGAACTCCTCCCGCTCCCATGCAGCCCCTGCCAGCACTTCACCAGACAAGGAGGTGGTACTCGTGAAACGTCAGCTGTTTAACAGCCAGCTCATTACCGTCAACTTCCTGGTCAATGACCTCCACTTTTATCTCGAGATCAACAAGTGAGTTCCCTTTCCACTGGGTGCTCAGGTACCACCAGTCTCCTATCCTGCAAGTAATACCCATCTCCCAGCAGGGGATAAAGGTCCATGGATTTGTTAGCACACACTAAGGTCTGTGCTGCCACCCGTAAACTCCTATCAGCACCTTTGTGCAAGGCTGGACATCACCTTGCAGCCAAAGACATAACCAAAATCTCACCCTGTAGCTGTCTACATCTAATCTGTTCATGGTTACCTGCCCCTGGAGGCTCCAAAGCACTCCATTTCAACCAGAAAAAGTCCCTTGGCTCAGGGTTCCTGTTTGGGTACCCTAGAAGTACTTTTGGTTTGACAGTCCCAAGCTATCTAACATTTTGCCTACACCTTTCTTGACGTGCCAGTTGTGGCATTTCTCCATTGACTTTGTCCAGTTCCCTGACAAACCCATGAGAACAAGCCATGGCTGATGTGCAACAGCCCCGCAGTCAGCACACCCCTACACATGCAAGACCAGGTTTTGATTCCTCTCTTTTCCTGAAGAAAGGCAAACATCACATCCCCCAGGTAAATGCCATGACCATGAGAGCGATCAAAGAGGGAAGTGGCTTTGCATCCCCACCTCTTTCACTGTTCCAAACCTCATGGATTGCTTTTTTTTTTTTTTGACCAAGTAAATACAGAGCTAAGACAGAACACAACTGTCTAGCCTAGCGGTCAGAGCACTTGTCTCAGAGCAAGACCCCGCATGCCCTTGCAGGTTTTCCAGGCTGGCGGATTCAGTTGAAGCTCTGGCAGCCCACAACGTGCAGTCGGAAAAGGAAGTTGCCTTTCTCAAAAGGAAAGCTGCCATCATCAGCAAACTTTTCCTGAACTCTGATATCCCCCCCAAATTGCGGGTAAGATGCTGGGACCCACCCAGGAAGGCTGAAGGCCTGCTCATTGCTCAAGACCATTGCATTGCAGCTGTGAGCAGTTGTCAGGGAAAAGGGAACCAGGCAGAGGTTTGGATCTGCTCCAGCCAAGCATGTTTTGAAGCTTCAGAGCATGCTCTGGCGCTGGACCTCCACTTGGGCTCCATGGGATAGAACTGACCCATCACTAGACCCACACTAGCAATTGACCCAGGTGGATTGAGAACAAGTTTGTGGACAAGGAGATGGTGAAATCCCCAACCTGCTGGAGAAATACCACAGCTGGAGCACCAAGATGGGTGCTGCACTCCACCAGTTCAGTCCTTTCACTCTCCCGAGGTCAATGTCACCATCATCCCCTCCCCACTGCATCCACCTCTTCCCCTTATAGGAGCCATGGCTCTTCCTATCTTCCATTTGGAAAGCACAGCACAGTGCTTTCCACAGAAATCCAAGGGAGATACTGCCCTTGAACCTGGGACAGTCGGCCAGAACATAACTAGTATCTCATCTTAGAGACTGCTAAAATGGCAGGTGGGGTCAGGGAGACAAACATGCCTAGGCCCACCAGGAGTGCCACAAATTGTTTTGGTTAAGCAAGGTCTCTTCTGTGGCCAGGTAAACATCTCTGAAGAAGAGAGAGATTTAATCTGGAGTTTATCTTCCAAGGGGCTACTGAATCGTGTCCTCTACCACAGGGCCAAGGTCATCATCTTCCCCATCCTGATGCACTTCTGGAGAAGGTACCTGTCCCCTCTCTCCCAAAGTGGGGGAGGCTCTAAGGATCAACCTCTTTCTCCAGCCATCTGTTTCTCTGACATGATGAAAACGCGGATGAACGCTGTCCCAGAGCTCAGCCATAGATGTCTTCTTGGAAGTTTGCTGTCTTCAGTATTTCTCATACAGGTTCTGCACCTGGAAGGTGATGAGGAGCTTTCAGGTCTCCACAAAGGACAGAACACCAATCTCTTCACCCAGTACAAAAGCCTCGGAATCATCCGACATCTACAGTCCAAGTAAGCTGAGTGCCGTTCCCCCTGCTTCACATTTGTCCTCAGGCTTGTTCTTCCAATGCAGAGATATCCAGACCTGGGGTTTCAGTGTCCCACCGGGTTTCCCTTACAAGAGCCAAACTCCTTCCTTCACACAGCGACTTCATACAGCTTTGAGGATACATGTGGTGCAGGCCTATTGGAAAATGAAGCATCTTTGAAACCATTCCTTCCCGTCAAATTCAGTCAAAATTGCCCAGTGGGTTTTTAGACATTTCTGTGGGGAACAGGGAAGTAGGTGCAGAGGCTTCACGAGCAAAGAGCTGTTGCATAACTCTTGTTTACTTCAAAAACCGTGTTAAAAATACTCTCACGCACACCCTAAGACATAACTAAAGCAACTGATCTTTTGGGTTGCAAGTCAGATGGTAGTGGGAAAAGGAGAAGAACCACCATGCAGCCAAACACCAGGCTCAGTGGCATTACCTGGAAGCAGCTTTGAACATCTGGAATGGAGAATAAGCTTCATCAGGATTTGAGGTGATACTTGCTAGGACACCTCTGGAGAAAGATTTTTTTTTTCCCCATTCCTCATCCACTTGTTTAGTTTCAATACACTCAATAACTCTCAACTGAAAAACACAAAGAAAGTGGTGCTAAGTGCTGTCAGTCTGCCTGACGACCTGGCTCCCAGGCTGAATATTCATTTGGTAATTGTCTAATTGATTTTTGATTAAAGGGGAAACCAAAATAGGCACATACTAATCTTGCTTTGACGGTCGAGTGGGTGTCAGCAAGCTGGTGTTCTGTTCCCTGTCATTTATCACTGTCAAGTTCTGGTTAAAAAAAAAAAAAGTCGTAAGATTTTTATACCTACAGGCAGGTGCTTGAGCTACTGCTCCGCAGCAGAGCTGGGGGTAACAGACCCCCGTGCTGGTGTGCTCCAAGACTGCCAAGCCATGTCTGTTAGCTCAAACCACCCCACATCTGGAGTATTCCCCTGAATAACATGCAGTGTTCAGCTTGAGTCTCCACCTTGTTAGAGAGCTTCGCTGCACTTCTAGAGCCTTCTCAAACATAGCTATTTTAATGCAAAAAACTTATTGCCACCAGAAGAAAAAAAAACAGACAAAACCTAACCCATCACACGAGTATTCTCAGTGAGCAACAAGCCAGAAGCATTATGTTACACAGCAGCCACCTGCTGTGTTATCTGGAACAAAGACACGTGTTTGCCAAGGTCTTCAGAAAACTGATGGAGAGAGATGTTCAATCAGTGCAAACTGGTGCAAGGGTTAGGAGCATCCCACCGCTGCCCAAGCGGCGCAGCCCGTGTTTAACTACACAGCACCTCAGAGAGCGAGATACTGCTCTGGAGAGACAGCTGGAGATGTGTAGAAAAGACTGATCTTTCTCACATGGGCATTAATCACATTAATCCTGCAGTGAATATCCTGGGGAAAACTGTCCCCAAGCCACAGCTTCTTGTAGCAGCTCACAGGGATGAAGAACCAGAGCCATGCAGATAAAAATCCCTCTTCTCGGGTGGTGTGTCATGGGAAGAGATGTGCGGTCTCTCGGGCCGGTGTCATTTCTCCTGCATGGCTGGCACGTTCAGCCTGGCTGAGTAGGAAGGGCAGACACCATCATGCCTTGGTAGGGCAGAGCTGTACCCGTGGGGTGCGGCGCGGGCTCATCCTGCTCTCCATCGCCAACCACAGCACCCTGGCTGCCAGAGAGGAGCAAACCAAATCAGTGTGCAACCCAGAAATAGCTGCTGTTTCTGACTGTGCTTATGCCACCTTTTGCTCGGGACAGTTTTCTGCACCTTATCATACTTTCACCGATGATCTTTGTCTAAGGATCTTGCTTTTCTGACCTTTTAGATAAAGACCTTGCTTTTCAGAGGGGAAAAAATTGGTTATGATGTCTTTAAAAGGCACTAAAATTTGCTAGGGAAAATACCTGTAATTCCAGAGAAGGCCTCCCATCGCCCACGTCTTGCTTTTCTCTTGTTCTGAGGGTTGCAGCTTTGCACAGATGCAGTGCATGCATGGCTGGGAAGGCGCCAGAGATGAATCCATCTCCCATCACCAGGCGTCACTGTGGCACCGTCTGTGCCTTTACACAGGGCAGAGGGGCCGGTCCTGCTGAGACTGGATGCGTTGCCTGTACCCCACTTCGTGGGCATGAATGTGGAGCTCCTCTTTGGAGAGGCCACCCAAGCAAGCACAAAGCCGAGAGCATGTCTGTGCATGGGAGCAGCAGTGCACATGCCTGTCCCCATCCCTCTGAATGCCATTTCCCCACAACCTCCCATCTGCCACCCAGGACCTCCCCCAACCCTACAGCAGAGCCAGGGTTAGACATGTCACCCCTGCCCTGCAGCCCCCAAACGGCTTCACAGTCAAGGAGATCTGGGTAACTCATGTCCTTGCTCAACCACCCTTCTTTGACCTCTATACGAGCCCCATGGGATTCAAAGGGGACAACACATCATGCCATCTTCCCTCATTTGCCATCAGAGCACTTGCCACACAGCGCCATTTCATCTCTTCTCCCTCACCAGGCAATCACACCATCATTGCCTTCACGCTCCTAAAAGGGGTCCAGATCCTGCTGCCGTTTTTTGCTCTCAAGGGGAGCTCAGGCTGCCAGGATGGGAGATTTAGGGCTCCCCACATCTGGCCATGATGGGAAGTTGTTGTGCGTGTTGTTTTTCTCAGATTCAGATAAAAGTCTTGAGAAACAGCTCTCAGTCAGCAAGTCTGCCTCCTGTCCTGCAGAGCAGGTAGGTGGTCACAGAGGCAGTCTACCTCCCCCAAACTACACCAGTACAAGCACCTAGAACAGCAAAGCTATGACTCCCCTTAAAACCCAAAGGCCAACTGGGTGAGCCTGTGCAGGATGCTGGTCACCTCTAGATCTCCAGTAGCATTCACATAAAATCCCCAGTTGCCGCACCTCTCCATGCCCTGAACACCTCTCCACCCCACCCAAGGAGCACATGGCTGTGTTGTTCATCCCAGATCACCCACACCCAACCTCCATGAGCAGCAGCCACTAATGCAACCTCTCTCCCAGCAGGCATCAAGGGAAGGACAGACCTCCAAGGAAGAACAGACCTCCCAACACTCTGAGCAGGACAGGGCTGTGCTCCAAGAAAGCTGAGCAGCCCAGACACACTTCATAGTTTGCACTTAATCAGCAGCAAGACCTAAAAATAAAGCAACTCACAACATCCTCCAGCTTGCCCAGTAGTACAGCATAGCTGCTTGCACCCCTGCAACTATTGCAGGGACATACCATGATGTGTGTCCACCCAAGGAGATACCCTTGCTCACACAACAGTCTCTTTCCTCGCACATATCTGTAGAAGACTGCATTCTCCATAGCCAACACCTTTTTACAAGACATTTGGAAGGTGCTTAAAGCCAGAAAGCAGTCACAGTAAATATTTTGCCTGAGGATGGAGGTCCTCAAAGACCACCAGTCCCACAGGGCCCCACTGCACAAGAGGCCCTACTTCTCACCAAGGACCAGGACTGCATTCTTCTGCTCAGCATGCCTTACAGCCTTGTCTCAGCCCTCACCACTCTGTGCTTTCCACACAAATTAAATACCTCCTGTGGGCAGCAAGGCCAAGAGACCCCACCTGGTTTACTACTCAGGTGTCCCTGGATGGTGAGGTGGTGCCTGTCTTGCCAGAGCCGTTCGGATTTTCCAATCAAAATCAGCTCATGGCTGACTCAGGTCTTGGCATGCCTTTTTTAAAAGGCAGTGTGTTTACAAAGCATTAACCAAATCATACCAAAGACCTTCATTTTCTCCAGGTGAAACTGAGTCAGAGTGCCTTTGCCAAGTCACCAGGAAGCTGCAGAAATCTCAAATGTTCTTTGAACCTCATGAAGAAAAGACCATGACCTTTATCACATCTTGCCTCTGACAGCTCCCTCACAAGCTCTCAGCTTGGTAATTCTGAGCTTTTTTTAGCTACTTTTTAACCCTCAGATCCTAGAAGACTGCATCCTGGGAATAACACAGGTGCGTTATGTTTCATAATTGTCAGATACAATTATCAATGCTTTGCTTCTGGAGGATCAAAAAAACAAACAAAACCAAAGTCCAAGAACATTTCTATAAATGAAGGACTGAAGAAGCTGATGCCACTCCTACAACCTGAACTGATCCTCAAAATTGCCTTTCTACTGTAACTTGATTTTACCCCAAAAGCTTTCAGCCCCAAAAGCTAGCTGCATTTTTGTGTGCTTTGCTCTGACACTTCAGGCTCCGTAGCCTGAGCCCAGCTGAGCCTGGTCCCTCTCAGGCTTCACAGATGTGCCTGAAGCTCATCACAGCAAAACTGCAGCTAACAGCGATCTTCACTCCACTGCTTCTGCGGACTTCCCATCCCCACAGTGCGGTAGACAAGATATGTTGACTTGGGGCCATCCCTGTGCACACAAGCATGTCCTCAGCACACAAGTGACAGGATGGAGACCACCTGATCCTGTCACATCAGGTTGAGGCAGCTGTCCCTGGGGTCACCCAGCCAGGAGCAGGAGAAAAAGGCAGAAGCACAGCAAATACCCAATGTACAGGCATGGCAGCAGCGCAATGAAGCCAAATCCTCATGCCCTTGGGCACCATGCATGGTCTACAAGTTCGCCTGTACAGGCAAAGGCAGGCAGCACCTCCCAGATGGACACTGATGCTGGGAGCCATCAGTACATCAAGCAGCGCTAACTCCAGCAGCTGGGTCCGCCCTCGGCTCCCTGGGACACCTTTATCCCCAGGCTGCGACATCAGGCACTGCCATACCACCCAGTTGCAACACCATCCAGCTGTCCTTGCCATGGGTTTTCCATCCTTCCTGGCCTGGCGCTGAGCACTCGCCCATCCTCCCCGACCCTCTGAGGAGGAGAGGTAGCCTGGTATTTTCCTCAACATTAGTCCCAGTCCTGCATCCCCCTCCTATTCCCGTGGCCTGATGCCCTGTGAGCAATAAGCTCTGCAGATGCCGTGCGTGGATCAAGTTTCTCCTCTGACACCAGCCTGCTGGCACCTCTGGCTTCTCGGAAAGCGGGACATGGCCCTGCAGACCACACGAGCCTTCCCTGGAAATTCTTCCCAGCAGCCTGATTGCTCCCGAGAGACAAGTCACAGCCTCCACGGGTTTAATCGTTGCTCTGGTTAGGATATCCTTGAGTGCTCTCTGCTTTCAGGACAGCCTTTCCACAGCCTTTTAAGGCTGCCAAGTCACAGTCCTTTAGCAAAACAGCAGAGCGAGAGCGATGCAAGAAGATGCAAAGGTCAAAGCAAGCCGGAAACGTGGCGTTTTACAAGAAGCTGAAGGAGCCCAGCCCATGGCCTCACCTCTCTCCACGCAAGAGCAGAAGCATGCTGCTGTGGCATGGAGCCACCGTGCTCCCCACAGCACCCCTGCTCCCCACGCTGCTGAGACCCAGACTCGCAGCTCTGGGTGTCCTCCTGCTTCCTGGGCACAGGAAAGACAGAGTGAGCAAGAAAAAACAAGCAGGGAGGAAAGGAAAAAATAAAAGCATTGAGACAAGAGGAGTCGAAGTTCTCCTGGGTGCATTTTCTCTAAGGGCACCTCACCAACAGTTGCGTAGTCAAGCTTTCTTGTTGTTACATTGACCTATTTTAAAAGGTTCCCAAGACCACCAGAAGGAGCTTTGCTCTGAGCCAGGACCATTGCTGCACACGGACCTCAGGAGCACGTGCACGGCAGTCTGCAACCCAACCGATGCACAGCAATGCCTGCTGGTTTGCAGGTACGTACATCTGTAAGCCCACACACAGCTAAGCAGATGTGGGGGACTCAATGATGTATTCTGGGCAGCCATTCATTGGTAGAGGAGATGGGTCAAACACATCCACTCCCAGAGCTTTACATGTACACAAACACACACGTGCAAACAGTGATGCCCGTCTCCGCACCTCAACTCATCCACGAAATCCTCACCCTCATGCCACAAAAACAATGCAAACCCCCCACCATTCAACCCATTATTTCACAAGAGACAGCTTGCTTCTGAGGACAGGAATTACTTCCCAACATCTTTTCCCGTCAGATACCCATACGGGCCAGAAGTAATTCATCTGAGCAGTGGCAAAACCATCTACTACCTCACCTAAACAACCAAGAGGCACCTCCACAGGGAGGCCAAAAATCCCAACCTTTTGGGCATTTTATAGTCCTGCAGACTATCTCTTTCTGTGCAGAGGGGTCGGGGGAACCTCATTCACAAATGAATGTAGTAAGAGTCAGTTTTCCTGGCAAGTTTATTCCAAGTTTGGTTCTCCATAGGCTAATTGAACAAATAACAATCTCAGTTTGAAAAAAAAATTAAAAATCTTTTCGACAGCTGAAAAATATTTCCATAAGCAACATGTAATCATGGTGCAAATGAGAGCGTTAGCCGAGAAACAAGCAAGCCCTTGGACCATCAGACACAGATTGCGTGCCGTAGGATTTCAGAGATGGGTTCGTGCCACCCAGCCTCCGATATCTACGTTCTGAGTGGGCTGCGTGCTGCAGCTCTATGGGCACCTGCTCTGTGCAAGGGAGCCAAATCTGGCAGGAGGACGGTGATACACTGACAGCAGCGCTGTTTTGGAGACACGGAGTGCTTGTGCGCAGCCCTGCCTTGCAGACGCAGCCTGCCACGGCAGAGGTTGTCCATTCCAGGAGGAACTGGTCGCTGCAGTCCCTTTGGCATCAGCGACCTTTTTCAGGTGAGTCAGGACTACTCACAGTAGTAGAGTTTTGTGGGATCATGCTCCTTACATCTGTTCCTTGCGGAAACGTCTCCTGCGTCCCCCAGCAGAAATCCTTCAGGTGCCAGCAGACTGGGCTGATTGTGCTTCTGTGAGATCAGAGGGATAACAAGCCAAGGGCAACTCTGCAGCCAGACTATTGGCTTAGGCATCTCATTTTCTGGATGCTGTGTTTCAAAAAGACTGAAGGGAGAGAATCCATGTCTTTCTAGGGGTAGATGAGAGGCTTATCGGTGCAAGCTGTAGGGAATATTGGTCCTAGCAAGGAGTTCAAACTCCTTTTACTTTATCAGAGTGTCCCACGTTGCCCGGTAATGCCTGAGCTCTTCTGCCTCCCAGAAGCGTTGGGTATATGGGGGCTGTCCCACATCTCCCTGCTCTCCATAAAGGATCAGGGCATTGATCTCCGCCTTACAGATGGATAAGTCCAGAGGGACAGAAGTAATCATGGAGGACCTGGGCTGGCACTCAGCTTGGTTCCTCACCAAACACTTCTGAAGCATCTTTCATTTCTTCATCTAAGTCCTCCGTGTTCTGTCCTGCATGTGCTCTCTCCTATCTCCTTCAACTCCCCTCCTGCATGTGCTCTCTCCCCTCCCTCCTTCAACTCTTTTGCAGATGAAGAAATAGGGAATAAAAATAGGCAGTGATGGTCGGATCAGACATAGGATACGAGGCAATGACATCCTACAGAGAAGGGTCTTGAATGTCTGCAAGGTGCCTGTATTTGCGATTCTGGTGTAAACTGTTGTAAACATGAATGGTAAGTGCTGGGAAAACCTTCAAGAAATACTCAGCATAGTTTCCTATTGTGTTGCTGATCCTGAAAGAGAACAAAACCAAAATGAATTTTTAAAGCTTGCCTAAGGAGTCAAGTGTGCAGGATGCCCTGGTTCCTCCCTTGCAGAAAAAAAAGCCATTCCAGAGGCTTTCTGATAACATGGGATTCTTTCCTAGAAATCCTTGAGCTGTAACTTTTCTATATCTTCCCTAAGCTCCTCGATCCATTTTTTTTTTCCGCTAGTCCTCCAGCACCTCCAACTGCCTAATCCCACCTGCATTTTCACTGAAGAGCAGTGCCGGCCACCAGCATCAGCAAAACCATCGATAGGAGTTACCACCACCTCTAACCTCACATATGAGTGCCCATGACTGTAGAGGGTTGAAGGCTCTGGCACCTCTTTAGGAGTCAAGATGTCCTAACAGGATCTTCTAACAGGACCGGTGCTTCCTGATCCCTATCTCAAAGCACTTCAGCACGGTAAACATCAACACTAGCAAGGTACATAAGGAGGCCAGTCTGGCCCAAACCATGACAGATCTAAAAACCTTCTGGGAGTTACAGCAAGAAACACCAGCCTGCAGGAAAAATAACAGCCCAGAAGGACACGTTCACGGTGTCCTCTGCTACAGAGCCATGACCTGCCTTAGCTATCACAGATACCTCTCCAACCCACTGGCTGCTCTGCAAAGGCAAGGGTGCAGAGGGAGCTTCCACCAGTTCTCTGAAGCTGCTGCTATCCCTCTGGAGCAGAAGGCTCTGGTTGAGGGTGTTCATCTGTGGGAGGTGATCTGGAAGTCAGATTTTGATTCAAAATCTGAGGTCTAATCCTGTGAGCTGACTTCCTTTTCTTACCCTCAGGAAGATAATTTTGAGGGCTGACTCCAGACTGCTCGCTGCCATGATGCACAATCTTTCACACTCTATTGCGCTGCCAGAGGAGATAGCCCCTCTAACAAGATGAGCTTTAACAGACTTTCTCCCACATCCCGATTGTGTTTCCCCTTCTGGAAAACCATCGGAAGAAGATTTTGCTCTCAAACTCACTGACACTTGCAGATACCCAGATGCTCCCTGCAATGCAACTGTGGCAGGGGCAAGGATGTGAACATGTACCTGCTATCTGGGTGTTCATCCAGGTTTCTCATGAGCCTCAGTAGGTCGGTGACATCGTTGCTATATGAGAATTGTCTTCCTTTCCTGGGGTTTTTCATGATATCCAGAACAAGTTTGTCAATCTGTGAAAAAGCATGTAGATTATTCTCTTCTTTTCACACACCACAAAAGCAGCACATCTACCTCCACTCACCACAGCCATTGCCTTTCTGCAGGGACATCGTCTTGCATGGGTAAATCTTGTGTCCCTTAAAAGCATGTTTCCCAACACGAGCAGAAGGGTTCTCTCTGCAGGGTATGCACCATACAGACCCCCTGATTCTCCCAAGTGTTTCCTCTCCTGCCTTGCCAAGGTGTGACGCTTGTATTAGGACTGTCAACACGGCACTGGAGATATTCACGCTTGCCTGTAGGGCGGGAGGGGGTCTTGATCCAGCTGTGCCCTTGAGAGGGCCACGCAGGCTGCCATACTGAACCAAGCCTGTAGGATCTCGAACAATGTAGCTTGTCTTTCCAGGTTGCTACCTGCAAAAGCAGGCCTGGTCTCACTGGTTTTGAGCCAATCTAACAAAACACTTTTGCCAGAAATTTGCTGACAAGGGCCAGAGGTCCTTGTCTTAAGGGACCACCAACAAACACCCTTGAAGGTTTGCCAGCTAATTCTATAATGACCATCCCCTACTACCACCCTAGTCAACAGAGCTCCCTTTAGCATCGATGTCTTTAGGCTGGCGTATTTCGACTACGTGGCTTAGATTTAATTGTTTCCCCCAGTTACCTGTATTTGTGTGGGGCTACTTTTTCCCATTACGGTTTTAAACAGGGCCCATGAAACACTCAGGAAAAACTTCTGCCTAAATGTCTAGCTCAAACCTCATATCACTCCAAAGAGAAGAGGATTACCTGTGTGGTCCAACTTGGATAAGGAGAACTTTTAGGAGCATTAAGAGCTTGAGAGGCAGCGTTTCCTTTGGGGAGATCTTTGATTTTATTCCATATACTCTTCAGGAACTGGAACCTGCTGTGGAACGAGGAGCTTTGTTAGCTGCACCAGGACATTGCCGTTCCCAGCGCTACAGGCAAATCCCGTACCAAAAGCTTTTCCTTTGTACTCCCAGCACTTACGCCTGTTTGCTCCAAAAATAGGGATGTTTGCTCAAACCTTCCAAACCTCGTTCATCATGAGAGACCAGGCAACGTACAAGGTCTAGAGCCTCCTTGTAATCTGGGGAATCAGCAGACAAATCCTTGGTACTGACTTGCTGAAGGGGTTTTCCACCCCCTGTTAAAACATACAGCACAAGCCTGCTGAGGGCCTGCAAAGAAACACATCACTGCTCATGTGCCAGATGCGTGAAACTTTTTACCAAATGGAAGAGGACTAGTATTCCTAAATGAGCAGACTGCATATGTGGACACACACACAAGCGCTTATCGGTGTGCAGAAGTACACAAATACACACAAACACACACTTTGAAGCTGCGTGCACAAAGACAGAGGAAAGAGGCAGCATAATGATGCTCACAGGGTATCCGCGGATGTCCCGGCACCAGCCACAGCATTGCATCCTAATCACTATTATTTTTATGCAGTGTCTATTGTTATATGGGCCTTCCCAAAAATCAAGATGTTTTCTAGTTGAGGATGCAGAAAGGCTTCCCCTAGGATTCACAGCAACAGCAAACATCAGAGCGCCTGAAATTTTAAACCATATGTTGATCCGCAGGGAAGTTACCTCTAAATCTGAGTTTATAAGTTCTTTATTGTCTTCAATCAACTGCCTTTTATTGTCAAAATCCACCAAGGAAATTTTGCCGCCTAAATCTGAGGAAATAAGAAAAATTGTTAACAAAAAATGGTGGAAAATATTAATACAGTCTGTCACTGACCGCTGGATGGCCCCTTCTTTAGAAAACAAATCTCTGAAGAGATCTGCTCTGGGTTGATCTGTCTGCAAAGCCCTGGAAAGGAGGGCAGATCTAATGAGACATTTAAAGTTGTTCTGTTCACTCCTCTGTGGCTGTCTGCAAACATATCTATACTTAATCGAAGAGGAGAGCTAATGCCACAGACACCTCATTCTGCATAAATCCACCTACACTGGTGTTTCATATCTGTTTTTTACAGGCAGCTATGAAGCATCTTCTCTAAACTACAGGCAACAGGAGAGCAAAATGAATTCATTGAGAAACCAAAAGATAACCTATCAAAAAGTTTCTGGGATGCAGATCTCGGTGAGCAAATCCAATGGAGTGCAGCTCTTTTACTGCCTGGAAGATCATCCTCACAGCATCTTTGTAATCATTTTCGTCTTTTGGTTCCTGCAGATGTTCTTCAAGGTTTTTCTCCCAGAGGGGGAAGCACAAGTACATGTAGCCTCTTGCCTTCTCAAACTGGAAGAGCTTCAGTAGATGTGTAGAGTTACCGCATTGTTCGAAGAACCTTTTCTCTTTGTCACCCTCTGTACTGCGGCTTATTCTTACTGCTACCTCTGTCTCACCATAGAGCCCCAAGTAGATGCCACCCTGAGAAGTGTTCCGAATTTTCTGCTGGATGTATTGAAATGTCTTCAGTTTGCCAATCATAGGGCGATACATTTTATAAAGATTTTTCAGCTGGTCCCTCCAGCGTTTGCTGTTTGGCTCCCAGTCTTCGAGAGTGTCTGGAACAAACGTGGCATTATATTGGCGAAGAAGATGTGCCATTTTATGAGCACGGTTCCTATTTGCAACAGCAATGAGGTTCCCCACATCAGTCCTTGCTTCTTGTTCACACAACAACTTTGCTATATTGTCATCATTTTTCTCTACAGCCACCATCAGAGCTGTGTTGCCCTCCTCATCTGCATCATCAATATCTATTTCACCCTTCTCCAATAAAGCTTTCACCAAGTCTAGGCTCTGCATTTCAACAGCTAGGATGAGGGCAGTTTTCCCACATTCATCTTTGCTGTTCACATCAACACCACAGTCCAGAAGGAAATGGCCTATGGAGACTGTTGACTCGTATATTTCCTTGTCAGAAACCTTCCTGTTGGAATGCTCCTTCTTGAGGGCATGGATCAAGGCATTCCTATCTTTGTTGTCACGAATGTTCACATCAGCCCCCATGTCTTGGACAAGAATTTTTACAACCGAGAAGCGGCGTTTCCTACAAGCATCCATCAGTGCTGTTGCACCTCCTTTATGCAGTTTCGCTTTCTCCTCATTAACTTCCCTCCTCAAATTCACATTTGCTCCTTTGCTATACAGGAATTTCAAGGCTTCCTCATTCCCATACCATGCAGCCTCCATGAAAGCTGTGAAGCCGTTATCATCATGGTCATTAATGTCTACGCCACAATCAAGGAGGAGCTTCAGCATATTCACGTTTCCCACTGCCGCTGCCTCAATAAATGCAGTGCCTCCATTGTCCTTCCTGGCATGTGGACAAGCACCCTTGTCCATCAGAAGCTGGACCAGGTCTTCATTGTTAGCTTGCACGGCGCTCTGCAGTGGTGTCCAGCCACTTTCTGCTTTGGAGTTCACATCCGCCCCTTTCTTCAGAAGCTCCAGCACAGCTTTTATATTTTGGTTCCTCACAGCAGCATTTAACTTGAAGGCAAGGTCTTCTGCTTTCTCCATGCTGGAAGCGGTAGATGCCTCCTGCTGGCTGTGAGCTGTGGGGTCCATGACGGTCAGATGGAGGGGTCTATACCTCAGATGTTCCTCACCTGAGGCCAGGGATCCCACCAAAGAACAGGAGAGGTGCAATGCTCGGTGTCTTCGTTGGGGGGATGCTCTGGGTTTGGTTGACAAAATATGCTAGGTAGGATACGCTGCTACTGTAAGGGCTTCGTGGTCTTCACCTAATTAATAAACAGAAAATCTTATTTTATTAGACTGTGAAACCTCACCTGATGTCCTGCAGACCTGTGTGAGGGGCAACTAAGTACAGCAATGCCAGTGCCAACCGAGAGCTGAGGCTGGCGAGAAGCACAACTTTAGCACTCACACAGACGTACTGTTGTCCCTCAATAGGGGTTCACGCCCCATGCACAGGAGCCAATGAGCACACAGAGTCAAGGTCCACCTTCTAACCTTTAATGCAGTTCTGTACAGAAAGGAGTGCCAGGCTATCGTTCGCAAAGCTAGCACGCCTCTTCAGAGGGGTCACAGGTTTTCATACAGTTTACAAAAAAGAAAAGTTGAGCAAAACTTGTTCATTGGTCACCTTTCAATTATATAACTAATGCCATTCTGCGCACACTCCCATTAGTGGCTAGTTCGTTATGCAGAGGCGGTCTGACAGCAGCATGTAAGGTGTGATTGTTACCATGCTAATTAGTCTTAGATTACCTTCGGGCAACCCCCCTTGCTCCCCTCCCATCCCCCTATTCAAGAGGTCCTTGTTGGCGTTAGTTCACCCCTGTGTTACCTTGTGTTATCTTGTTGTGATTCTTTACTTTGAGGACCACAATTCGCACCCATCACCGTTCGCTTGCTTGTTCATGGTCTCAGCACTAATCACAGCCTGGGCAGATGTCCTCTGGGGTGGGGGGGAACCCAAGATGCTCTTGCTATAAATGTTATCTCAGTTTTATTACAGTTTACCTAATAAGCCAGCCCCCAGCAATGTTTTCAGGTGGAGAACACAGCAGGCATGTAGAGATAGGCATTCCTCTCCAGTTTTGGATGGCAGCCACACACACGGTCCTGGAAAGTCCCTGATCCAATACCTGGAATGAGACAGAAAGCCAACCTTAATCCCTCCTGCCTCCATAGGCAATTGGGAGACCCAACCTGACCAGAAGCCCTTCCTAAGCTTTTCAGGACATTAAGAGGTTAATCAGGTAGGACCTGATCTATCTATATGTATATAGAAAAGCCTTGAACTCCAATGTCCATTTTCCTGACTGCAAAGGCTGGTTCAAGTGACCAGTCCTTTCAGGAGTCACTATCTGACAAGCTGAACTGGAAATAAATTATCTAAGCAAATCAGAAAAGGGACAGACAAGTCTTAAGGTATAAAGTGAAAGTATAAATTCACATGAGTTTACCCTCAAGGAAAGCCAAAGACCATTTTATGGATCATTTCTCCCCCTGCCCAGCAGGAAATGAATACTCTATTTCATTGATTTAGACGCGTTTCATTTCCTTGCAGCAACTTCTATGCCCTTTGCCACATAAATATATAGATAGATAAATAAAAATAAAAAAATAAAAAAGTTACTTTTCTGGCTGGAAAAGCAATGCAGCACTGTGGGGCTCAAATTCCTCACCCCCGTCGGGAAGGCAGGGGCTTACGCTCCTTCCTCATCCTCTGCCGAGCTGCAGTGAGCTGCCCTAGGAAACCTTTGGACGTTTCTGTCCCATCCCGCTGGCTTTCGGCCAGAAGGCGCAAGAGGGGTACTTCATTTTTCCAATTTCCACCCTCTGCATGAACATAAGGCTTTGAAATTCTAGAACTAATCCAAGGAAGGCAAATATTAGGAACCTAAATTATGAGCACCTTCTGACCTGTTGTTTTATAGAAATGAAACACAGCTGCTGCTTAAAACACCTTTGAAGCCGGAGAGCAGCTTTTCTCAGCAGCTGCGCTTTCGCTGCGGCTTCCCAGCAAGTATCCCCAGACAGGATTTGCTTCCCAGCAAAGCCTGCGAGTATATGCTGTCCCCTCCCGGGAAGAAAGCAGCCCTGGGAGCATTTTATCCACTTTGTGGAAGGATGCTGGGGTTTTTTTTTGGGAGCGGCGTGGGGTTGTTTAGCGACTTTTTTTTTCAGCACGCAGCGGAGAGGTCGGGAGCAAAGTGCTCTCCCCATACAGTGCCCCGACGCAGACACTGTTTATAAACCTGCGTTCAGCAGTGGCTCAGGAGCTGAAGGCACAGAGACATTAAATACACTAATGCAGGGGTTTGGTGTTTGGGTTTGTTTTTTGGGGAGTTGGGGGGGGTGGGAGTGTGTTTTGAGGTTTTTTTAATTTATTTTAAGCTTTTCCTCACCTTTTGGTATATCCATCCGCAGGAGGAAACTAGCCACTCTGCTAAATTTCACCTGGGGAACCACGGAGCTCCAGGTCCGTTTATACCACAGCCGGCGTGTTCCTACCCTCACCCCACACTGGCCAGCAGGCAGCTGCCTGCTGCCCCAGCACCAGCTTCCTTGTAGGCAGCTCTGGGCAAACACAGTGCCTCCGGAGGAAGCCCCGTCCTCCAGCCCCTTCCCGTCCGCCTGCAAAGCCTGTGCAGGAAATACGTGGAGGAACCCAGTCTGTGACGTACCACCCAGTTTCCCCTGCTGCCCTGTAACGTTAAGAGCATCTTGCCGGGGTGCAGAGCCCGTGCAACCTCCCCAGCCACCTCCATGACAGCTGCAAGGCTCGGACCACCCTTGAAATGGGGCTGAAACCACACCGGGTAATTCACGCTGGGCTTTCGTCGGTACGTTGGTACACGCACAAACTGGGCATCCGCATGTGTGCACGGAGACGTGGCTGGATGCAAACAGGAAGGCGTGAATGCAGAAAAGCATACCCTACAGGGGTGCCTGGGTGCAGTCCTGCACGTGTCTTACCCGCATACCCAAATCTGTATGTATTCTGCATTGCTTGCCCACATCTGCATGCCAACATTCACAAACGCGTTCGCAGCATTCACAAATGCTCTGAAAAGCTCTGCCTATGCAGAAGTCGCATCTTTGTACCCAACCGTCACATTGAGCTTTCCACAGCATGCAGCACATCCGCAAGGTCTGGGAACGTCCTGCAGTCTCCGGATGGAGTTTCACAGAGTTTGTGTTGCCACAGGAGACCTTGACACAGCCCCACAGGGACAAAGACCACGAAAACTCAGGGAACAATCTCAAATCACTGTCAAGAACTCATTTTAATTCACAGAAATCTGCTGAACTCAACAGCATCTGTCCCGGTTTGAGCAGAGCTGGGGCTCTAACTGCCAGTGTTTAACGTCCCATTTGCAGGCTGGAAAAGAGACAAACAAGCAGAGCAGGGGCACATCAGCGGCTCAGAGCCAACAATAAAGACATCCAAAAAAGAAAAGAAGTCAATGTTACAATACATAACAATATCACACCATCCAGCTACCCAAGTCCAAAAGCCCTGTTCAGCTTGCTGATTTAATTAAAGTAGTTCAGTATCTTATGGTGGGAAGATGAAAAACCCTAGGATGGTAGGAACCCAAATCCTAGGATGCTAGCTAGGAACAAGGTGTTTGCAACCGGCAGGGCTGTGGCAGAAGTATCCTGTGCCTGGACACCAGCAAAGACGGATTTGTTGGTAACGCTTTTCCTGTCTCTCATCCCTGATTCCAACTGCTTTCCATACAGTTATGCACAACAGCATAAGCTCAAACTCTCAGTTTCTGTGACAGGCAGTTTATGGGGAATAGAAGGGTCTCAAATGTTTTCCAAAGCATGGGAGTCAGAACTCCT